GGTTCGAAGACTTTGCCCTATATTAAGTAGTCGAATACTTCATACATACTGCTGCTTAAATTGCTGAATTATCCTTTAAGAAACGTTTGTGAAGTTTCCGACAATTTTTAGCTACAATATTAGAGGAAGACAAAAAAGTGAACATTTTCATCCAACACTATCATTAGTATGGTGTGCATACCACGAGAACCATGAGAATCGGGCAGATCAGAATAGTCTTTTCTTATACTTAGAAATCAGCTAGAATAAGGCTTATGTTAGTTCGGCCTATAGAAATTGGGACGCTCTAGCTGTACGGAATTCGATAGAATAGCGTTAGAATAGCCTTTATTCGTTAAAACAGCCACAATTCACACTTACATTGCTGCCACGCGGTTGTCTGCGTACCTTTTCCACCAAGTTCCACACAGGGACCCCACTCCCCAAATCGACTTTATATTCCTCATACATGAGTAAATAAACCATTAATACAATATGTATACGTCAACAATACCAGAACCATGTACACTGCCAGAAAATATTTCATCAAGATAACTTATATCTGACGATATGGTTAAAGGTAGAGATAGAAGAGATTGATATCGAGTTACTGAGGTAACGAATGCAGACATAACAAAGGCATATGAGGTTATACTGAAAATATTGAGGTTAAGCAAGTTCATTACATAATATCACTACAAAAGAAAACAGTAAGTAGATGTAAAGTAAGTTAATGTCAGTGGGTCGGGTGCGTCGACGTCTAGGACAGAACTGGCTATCCGTTTCGTGGGAACCGAGTTGCGAAATATCTGTAGAGCCACTACTTCGCGGGCCTTTTAAACCTCAGTGTTCGCACGCAGAACCATATCGAAATCGCGAGTTTTCGCGTTACGGTCCAAGCATTATTAGAAAGTAATAGTAAAAATCCTGACCTATTTCGGATGAGTATGTCCCTCGAGAGGAGAAAAAGCGATTACTACTACTACGTTCATGGCAGCTATAACAAGTTCATCAGGCTGCCACGAAAAATCTGTGCCGTAGCGGACTATTTGGGAGAAGACCATGACCCCTTGCAAAGTACGCAGCTTCAAAAACAGTTTATCTTAATCGACAGAACGATAGTTAGTAGCGCCTCACGAACCTCTTCCAATCATTTACATATATCTATGTCAAGGCCCTCCTAAAATTGTTCATGGTCGCTATCCTATTTTCATAAAGCTTCAAGGAAGCTCTTTGGGGTCTTATTGAAACCAGTTCATGGAATCTCTCTAGAAAGAGTTCTTGAGCTCAGTGAAGGGATATGAATTAGAATCTTTCTGCTTAGACAGACTGGATGGTCTAGGATTGTTATTCATTCTCCATTCCATAGAAGTGAAGGTTACATGCATTCACAAGCAGCAGATTACACTCAAGCAGAATAACTTTCTGTGTATGTGAAAGGTCATGAAAAGTTGTGAGGCACCCTAATTTTCACCCCATATGAGACGACTCACCTGCATTTCACCGTATTTCGATGTAGGGCTAATTAGTTAAATATGTAACTATGGGCGATACGGTGGATAATAGAATCTTCGTGAAACAAGGTAGAACAGCAGTCTAACAAAATGATTTTCTATATGCCTTTAAATACTGGATAGTCGACCTATTTCTATTCTATGACAGCAAATAATTCACATAAATATTTGTTGCTGTTTGATGTTCCTGTAAATCTCGAGTATTCATGAATTCAAAATTTAACTATGTGAAAGTTTCTCGGGAATACCAGCGAAGAAGTCCACTTCAACCGGAACTCGCTTGTAAAAGGGATTTCACTGAAAGTCTCAATGTCTTCGGGATTTGTTCAAACAGAGCCTCTCCGCCAAACATTCAGGACCCAACCGTTTCCCTGTAGCCTACTGATTCAATCAAACGCTTCATGCGGTTACTTACAGAAACAATGAAGTAGGTTGAAGCTTGGTGGGCCCTTCCAAACATCGAATAGCCTATCGGGATCAGTTCCCAAACGAATGTTTCTAGGACACTGTAAATCGAGTACTTAGCTCATCATTGAGTGTTTATTACTTCGTGAATAAGTCGTTCGCACTGTCTACGATAGGGGACTGTCGCCGATAAAAAAGCCCATCCACCAAGTCAATTCCCAAATAAAAGCGATAAAAGTCGAATTTCAAGGGAATAGCCACAGGGCATAAAAGTGTCTGTTCAAATACGTCATGAGACATCCATATAATTTATAGGCAATCTCAAGGACTTCAGAAGATTAAAGACCGTATACGATAAAAACGGTATCTAGGTTTTTCCCTCAGATGAACCTGGAGCTCCCAAAAACAGTACTTGCGCACTGTGGTGTCTGAGAACGACCTACACAGGGGGTAGTAAGGGCTCCAAGCCAACCCGTGCTAGAGAGTAACCTGTACACACCCGAAAATGGCCGGCTATGACAGCCATCATTCACAATATAGCTTCAGGACGCCGACGAGTAGTCACTTGGGTGCATTTTCCCAGAAGGGTACAGACCTATTTATACGGGATCTCGCAATCATACGTCCCTTTTTCTTTTCCAAGAAAACAGGCTTTTATGCTCTGAACTATGCCCTAGTACTATAAAAGCACCCAGCAGGAAGGAACTTTTGTAATTTCTGGATCTGGTGCAAGCTCTTTACACTATTGCACCAACTGACGTCTCGTCCGAATACTCCATGTTTGCCGCTTTTGACGTCATAAACTCGTACGAGCCCCTTTTTGTCTTATTTCTGTAGCCTTATTCTTTTGAAACGTAGGATAAGATCTTCGCCATATTTGCATTATTTGCGTCATAGTCCATTGACCGAGTTTGTATCTCAAAATTATCGTTAACTGCACCTTCAACGGCAGAATAGTCAAAAGTGGTAAAGAAATCATGATTCGTGGAGAAAAGATTCAAAAAGGTAATAGAAGAGGGGATATACGAGATTATAACGGCCAAATTTGCATGAAAAAAGTGTACAAACGAGCTGTCACCCGTGTGCTAATGCGTAAAGTTAGCTAGAGTAAGCCAAAAATTGCCTCGCTATGAGTCAGGACTGATTGTTTAAATTTCAAATTTTGATGTCCCCTGTGAATGGTGTGGTCTCTACACGCGGCTGAAACGTCGCAGCTCGTCCGCATTTGGGCGTGGCTTACCGGCGATGCAGTTTTTGAGCCGTTACGATGCCCTATTCAAGCCGTTTTTCTATCTGACAGCTCCACCTATGCCATACATGAGCACCTCAGATTCATCATTGAGGGAATATCGGGAGCTGTTTTCACCGTGAACCTTTCTCCAAGTCGGGATATTTGAAAACTATATACTTCACAGGAAATCATGATATTTATTCATGTATACTTCCGCTTTTACCCTCATGTGCATCGAAAACTCAGTTCGAGAAAAAGAGTTGTTATGATAGTAACAGCTTAGAAGTGACAGAAGAAAGCCGAAGGAAAACTTCTAATGGTTCCTAAGGCCAATGGAAGTGAAGGTGAGTGAATGTTTTTCAAACACTAAAGCGTGCTAAACTCTAAAAAAGAAGTGGAAGGAAATTGGTAACTTAATAGAGTGCGGTTCATTCAGCTTTCCCATAATGTTGGCATGAATCTTGACTGGTCTGTGTATTGGCTTGAGGCTTTACGAGAATGTATAACTTGAATCAGCTCAAACTGCGATCTCTTGGCCTTATTTAGGGTTTGATGAACACGTAAGACAGGCAATCCTGAAGACAGTCCTCTGAAAGATTGGGTGATTGAAGGTGTAGTCACGTCAAATATTGTTGAATTGTTTCAAAGAAATTTTTTAATTTGTAATAGACTTTCCAGTAATCTGAAGTGGGAGCTCCTTTCAGTCTTTGACAGTGGAACCTGAATGCTTTCAATTTGGGAGCATTAGGAGAGCACAAAACTGTCTCCCCCGGAAGGTTAGCAGTTAACAATCGCATGAGATCTGGAGCTGAAGTCATGTTATTGTGCAGCGATGATAAGCTATTTGAGGCAGCGGAATGGAAGCTGTACTTCCAGCGATGAAGACAAATAACGGTACCAAAACATTTTATCATCTTGAAAAAATGCTTACGGTTCTTTCACATTATGGGTGCAAGGAAAGGCTTTACTACCGAGGGCCAAATTTTTCAGTAAGTTTAGTCGCATGTAACACATTTGGTTGGGAGCACCTATGTACGCCTATCGAAGTTACAGTATCCGAAGCTTCGTTATCAAAGGGATCGCAAGTATACTATGTAAAGGTTAGGCTGTATAATGTCAGGAGCAGAGTAGAATAACGTTAGAAGCAATGCATTTCGATCAATGAGGGTTTATGCATTGACAAAGGCTCAATAAATGAAAAATCATCCATTTGTGGAATCTTCATTTTGATGAGCAGATGACTCGTTGGGGCAGTTATTGGGTTTGACTTACCTTTTGGACTCGGAATGGGAGTATGTACTCCTTACAATATGACCTACACTATTTGAAAACACTCATCAAAAACTCTCAATAACTACTCCTTTTCCTTCCCTAGAGAGCAGGCAGAGATGTGACAGAACCCAATTAAAATCATATTAAAGGTGAATTAAAGTTAGATTATATTAAAAATTAATAGAATCAAGGTGTTGTTATTCAGAGTTGGAGATGCTGTCAAACTAAGAAAGGATTGGCTTTCGGGATCGGTTCAAAGGATTAGTGACGTTGGCCAGTTTGGGTATCTGACTTCGTAGTAGTACATGACACCTATATAAAAGCTTTATTAAAACTTATACAGATATTGTGCAGTGTCAAAAGAGAGGATTCTCTTACACGCTGATCCTCGTAGACGTGGAGACCAAGAGATTTTGAGTGAACAAGCATGAAAAGACAATATGAAATGCAAAACACAAGGTGTCAACAATAAAAATCTATTATTAATTCCTTCATATTCAATCTATACGTATAAATGTGGAATAGAATCATACCGTGACTAGATGACCGGATGTTTTATGAACAGATTTTGAAGCAGTTTCTCTAAAGAAGGATAAGATTTACACAGGTTTTTTGAGCAGTCGTGGACTGGTCACCGCCATCTTCTGTGATTTTCGTAGCGATTTCCGGCCTAAAGACCTGAAATCCAACGGAGAATTCGGTACGCTACCAAATCCTGACGAATCAGCTGAGCCGCTTGCTGACTGAAAAATTTATAAGCGGTGGCATAGCTGTGTAGATAGTAGAGGGCAGATGCAGTACAGTGAAAAAGAAAGAGGCAGTTTTTCATTTAACAAACCTGAAGCACTGCTCGGATTGTATCATGCCCGTACATTGTAGCTACATCTAAAGCTGTTCGACCTGCGAGATCTTTCAATGATGGTTCGGCACCCATTCGTAGCAGCAGCACTACCAATTCACGATTTCCCTGCTGTGCAGCCACTGATAGGGCAGATGCTCCCTGAAAACGTCACTCTATACAGCTTAATCCTTATTAAATCGAGCTTTTTGCAGACGTAGGGTTCACTTTATTTGAAGTTAGTTTGTGAAGAGCCCTAAGCAATACTCAGTCAATGACGTTCATAAGCTCTCAAATAGTTTAAATAATTGATTTCCATCTCAACCATGATAGTAGAAGTGGAAGTAGAGACTGTCGGACACCGAAAAGAAGGGCTCAGAGGTAAAGGACAAGATTCTCACCTGCTCATCGACGGCATTCGGATTGACACCGACCGTTTCGAGAAGGTATGCGGTCATTTCCAAATGGCAATTCCATACGGCTGTCAACAACGGAGTTCGACCACCGGCATCCACAGCTTCGAACGATGCTGCGAGACGTCGAAGCATTCGAGCACCACACATATCGTTTATAGCGCATACCTAGAAATGAATGCAGCCTTTCATAGAAGTAGAATAGGTTCGTGCAGACGCAAGCCAACAAATCCATCACCAAATACTCAGGTATTAACCAATTCAGAGAAAATTTAAACTGGGGACACTCAGAGCTCTTTTGAGCTAAGTTCACACGACAACAGAAAACTCTGTTCATATGTGCCCTACTTAAAGACACCGTTAGCTATAAATTTAGGGTACCCTTTTTTGACGGGAATTGATAGAACTACTCTAGAATAAAGCGATAAAGGATAAAGGATAAAGTTTTTGGCGTTAATCAATCCCGTCTGAGGGATGCGCCCCCGCACTCGACTTCCATTCAGAATCGTAGTGGCGTAATGAGTGCATATGTGGCCTATACAATGACTTGCGGTGGCCAGCCGATGTACAAGTCAGTGCTTTTATCCTCCCAGACAAGTCTGGTACCAATTTACCGAC